TCTTGCTCTGTTGCCTGGGCTGGAATGCAGTGGCATAATCTCGGCTCACTGCAACCTCCACTTCCCAGGTTCAAGCTATTCTCCTGCCTCAGCCTCCTGAGTATCTGGGATTACAGGGGCCCACCACCATGCCTGACTAATTTTTGTATTTTTAGTAGAGATGGGATTTCACCATGTTGGCCAGGCTGGTCTTGAACTCCTGACATCAAGTGATGCACCCACCTCAACCTCCCAAATTTCTGGGATTACAGGCATGAGGCACTGTGCCCAGCCTAATAATGATATTATAAGGTTATGTAATATGTATAAAATGCTTAGCACAGAACTGAGACATAATGCCTAATAAATGGCAGTAGTTACAGATGAGGAAATAAGTCTGGAAAGGTAAATAAAGCATTCAGTTAATTAGTGACAGAACTAGTAAACCCCAGACTTGTTGCTCCTAATGCAGGAATTTTTGAGGCCCTGAATTTTTGCTGGAAGGGTAACTGAAAGAGGTAATCTGTATAACTCAGTTTAACATACAGATCAGTCATTTGGAAGAAAAAGGGTAAATTTTTGGAAGCGTTTGCCAGGCTCACTAATGGAAAGATTGAAATTCAGGTATAGAAACCTAAAACTAAATGAGTTCCTTCAAGAAACCTTCAAGGCCCAGACATTGGCATTAGATCTGGTCAGAATGTTTTGTATAGTAATAGCACATCCATATGCTCTGCCGCCATAGTGGCATGTCTGTTACTTGATTTGGTTTCAGGTACAGTTAAGCTTGTGTTGCCTTTATATTCAGAAATATAAAGTACACTTAGTAACTAATTTTTGTACATAGAATTTATAGGTATTTTTGTACCCAAGATTTAGTTACTATAATATATGCAGACTAATACAAACATTAATAAAAAGACAATTCTGTCGACATTTTAAGACAGCCAGCTAGCTTATTCTAGCAGAAATACTCTATGAGCAATCAGGTGACATATATCATCTCTGTTTTCTAGGCCGTGGGACCCTGTCAGATGAGCATGCTGGAGTGATATCTGTTCTAGCCCAGCAAGCAGCTAAGCTAACCTCTGACCCCACTGATATTCCTGTGGTGTGTCTAGAATCAGATAATGGGTGAGTAGATTTCAGCAGATCCTTTCCTTTTTGTTTAGAAAAATTCCTGGTAAAATTGGCAGGGACCAGTCCTGTGTTCATCAGTGATTCCTTATTCAAACTACTTTGGGAAAAGTTCTTAATCTTTTGGACCACAGGAAAGGATAAGTTGATCTCTAAAGCTAATATACTTTCAGGCCACAATGCCCTTTAAATGAAGAATAAGTCGCAAACTATTAGTTTAACAACAACAAAAAAAGTAATAAATAGCACAAAGGAAAACTAATCAGAGAATAAAAATTATTATTTTTTTATCCTGAGGCAGGGTGTTGCTCTGTCACCCAAGATGGAGTACAGTGGTGTAATCATGGGTCACTGTGACCTCAGCTCCCAGGGCTCAAGCGATTCACCCAACGCAGCCTCCTGAGTAGCTGAAACTACAGGCTTGCACTGCCACATCCAGCTAACTTTTATATTTTTTGTAGAGATTAGGTGTCACCATGTTGCCCAGGCTGGTCTCAAACTCCCGGGCTTCAGTGATTTGCCTGCCTCAGCCTCCCAAAGTGCTGGGATTACAGGAGTGAGTCACTGCGCCTGGCCAAAAATTACTTGTAAATTAATAAAATTACTAAAGACATTCCAAGTGATGGTCCTCAGAATAATATGTGAAAAAAATAAAAATAAAAATATACCACTGCTAGTATCACCATTTTGTAAAAAGAAAAAATATACAGTCATGCATTGCTTAACAATGTGGATACATTCTGAGAAATAATGTCAGGCAGTTTTGTTGTATGAACATCATAGAGTGTACTTAAACAAACTAGGTGGTACACCCTATTACACCTAGGCTCTATTGTTCTTAGGCTACAAAGATTTGTAATCTAAATAATATAGGCAGTTATAACACAGTGGTATTTGTGTGTCTAAACAGAGAAAAGATATAGTAAAAATATTTCTTTTAAAGAAATTTTTTAAAAGGTATACCTCAGTAGGGCACTTACCATGAATGGAGCTTGCAAGGCTGGAAGTTGCTCTGAGTAAGTCAGTGAAACTTTTTGACCCTTATAATAACACTTAAAATTGTACAGCTGTATAAAAATTCTTCTTTAAACTTTTTTTTTTAAGACTTTTTTTGTGAAAAACAAAGGCAGAAACACACACACATTAGCCTAGGCCTGCACAGGGTCAGGATCATCAATATCACGGTCTTCTACCCCACATCTTCTCCACTGGAAGTTCTTTCGGGGCAGTAATATGCATGGAGTTGTCATCTCCTATCATGATGATGCCTTCTGGAATACCTCCCCAAGGACCTATCTGAGACTGTTTTATACTTAACCTTTTTTAATAAGTAGGAGTAGTATACTCTAAAATAATGATGAAAAGTATAGTATAGTAAATACATAGCCATAACATAGTCATTTATTCTCAAGTGTTATGTACTGTACATAATTGTATGTGCTATACTTTTTATGACTGGCAGCACGGTATGTTTGTTCACACCAGCATTACCACAGACGTGAGTAATGTGCTGCGCTGTGTGTCATTGTAGTGTGACACTACAACGGCTAAAAGGTCACTAGGCAATAGGAATTTTTCAGTTCCATTTTAATCTGTGGGACCACCATCATATATAGGGTCCACTGATGACTGAAACATTGTTATGCAGCACATGACTGTATCATATACATACAGATAAAACAAGGACCAGGAAAGCTTTTCGTTCCAGCTACTGAGGTGGCTGAAGCAGGAGGACTGCTTGAGCCTAGGAGTTTGAGGTCAGCCTGGGAAACACAACAAGACACTGCCTAAAAAAAACAACCAGGGAAATATTAACAGTGGCTGTCTGTATGTAGTAGGATTAAGGATTCATTTCATGTTTATATGTTTATGTATTTCCCAAGTGTTTCGTTGTGTTTAAATATTGCTGTTATACATAGAAACAGTGTATCCTAAGCCAAACAACGTCTTTCATCTTACAGTGAAGTCCCACTTGTAACGTTTTACTGAATATTTTCTTCCTTGCATTTCAGGAACATTATGATCCAGAAACATGATGGCATCACAGTGGCAGTGCACAAAATGGCCTCTTGACGTCTTGTATCTGTTCTTCAGCAGCCTGTCATAAGAACTCGACCCTACCTATGTTAACTACTAAAGTTCCAGTAGTTAGGCCATTCATTTAATGTGCATTGGGCACTTTTCTATTTATTTAAGAGTAAATTGCTTTTTAACACCCTATGGACCGACTAGCAAGATATCAGTAAGAAAGGATCATGTTTTGAAGCAGCAGGTCCAGGTCACTTTGTATATAGAATTTTGCTATATTCAATAAATCTGTTTGGAGGAAAACGGATCTTTTCTAGATTCTTTAACCTCTTAACCAAATGTTCTTTTTGTTCAGTTATTAAATTGTAATTTTTAATTACATATATATAAATTGTATATATATGTAATTTAAAAATATAAAAAATGTATATATAAATTTTTTAAAAAGGTCATTGTTCTAAACTACTTGCTTTTGTTTAAGAAGCTCCCTGAAATACTTATATTCCCACAGCATGTCCATGGATCCCGCCGTGTGCAGTTGGAAATCCACATACAACTTTTGACTCCCCAATAGCCCACTGTTGACCGGAAGCCTTAAACATCAATTAACACTAATTGTCTATGTTTTATATATTATATTCTATATTCTTACAGTAAAGTAAGCTCAAGAAAAGAATGTTATTAAAACTATACAGAAGAGAAAATATATTTAATATTAAGTAGAAGTGGATCATAATAAAGGTCTTTATATTTGTCATCTTCACATTGAGTAGGCTGAAAAGGAGGGTTTGTCTCACTGTCTCAGGGGTGGCAGAAGTGAAAGAAAATTCATGTGTAAGTGGACCCATGTTGTTTAAGTATCATTTAATTCTCATTAACAGCCCTATACAGTAGGTACCCACAACTAAGGCTATGAAATGACCAGAGTCATCATTTGGACACAGGACTCCAACTCAGAATCTGTACTCTTAACACCCAGACCACCAAATAAATAGGACACCTTGGCTAGAAAAAAATCATTTACCATTTGCAATTACAGGTCTGGCTGGGCACAGTGGCTTATGCCTGTAATCCCAACACTTTGGGAGGTCAAGACAGAAGGATGGCTTAAGCCAAGACCAGCCTGGGCAACAGTGTGACCCCATCTCTACAAAAAAAGGTTTTTTTAAATTAACCAGGCATGGTGGCATGGGCCTGTAGTCCCAGCTATTCAGGAGGCTGAGGCAGGAGGATCACTTGAGCCCAGGAGGTTGAGGCTGGTGATGTGCCATTGCATCCTAGCCTGGGTGACAGAGCAAGGAAAAAAAGTGTAAGTCAACATTATTTTCACCTCAGCCTTTATAGTTCTCAACAACAGAACTGTGCACAAGCAGGTACAAAAGACTGATTTGTTGAATGTAGTTCCTGTTGCTCTAGCAATTTAACATTTGACAGTATAAAAATCTCCCAGATATTACTTATCCAAAAACAGTAAGCATCTGCAAACATAAAGTGCTATGTGAGAACAGCAAAGATTTTTAGTAAGACAGCTCCAGCCCTTGAGCTTGTATGTTGGAAATGGGTTTATCATGTCAGGAAAAATCCACACTGAGACAATGGATCACTCAGCAAGGCTAGTTTACTTCCTGCATAAAGAGGGCACCTCACCGGCAGTCTTGCCACGAGCACACCTGAACAAGGGAGACATTTATAACTTTCATAACCTGATGAAATTGCCCTACTGCTGTGTCCAGTTTCCATTGGCCATAATAGGACCCCTCATTCTATGCTGGACCTGATTGGCTAAAAACTTGCAAATTTTTGCAATAGATGAGGGGGAAAGAAGACAAGAAGAGGAAGCTAGTCAGGAGAAGGTCAGGAGGGTTTCCAAATAAGAAATGGCATGCACCAGGGTTTGGAGCTTGCCCAGTTCAGACATGCTGGAGCAAGTCAAGGTAGCTGATTTAAGACATAACTGATTTTCAAAATATATACACATGGGTATATGTGTATGCTAATAAGCAGATAATGGCCATAGAGCAAGAGACTGTAACTCCTTATAATGTAGTCTGAGATATAAACGTTGAAGAACTTTCCCATCTCTCACGTTGCACTTTTTTTTTTTTTTTTTTTTGAGACAGTCTCCCTCTGTTGCCAGGCTGGAGTGCAGTGGGGTGATCTCGGCTCATCGCAACTTCCGCCTCCGCCTCCCAGGTTCAAACAATTCTCATGCCTCAGCCTCCCAAGTAGCTGGGACTACAGGCACATACCACCATGCCCAGCTAATTTTTGTATTTTTTTTTTTTTTTAGGAGAGACAAGGTTTCACCATGTTGGCCAGGATGGTCTCGATCTCTTGACCTTTGGATCCACCCACCTCACCCTCCCAAAGTGCTGGGATTACAAGTGTAGGCTACCACACCCAGCACGAGCTTGTACTTGAAGAGAAGGGATATATATGTATGGTCTTCGCCATACTTACTAATACCTGACATATAGTATACATGTTGTTTTATGTCTGACTTCCCCACTGGTGTAGATACTTTAAGGGCACAAGCTTTTTCTTTTTTTCTGTTTTTTTTGAGACAGAGTCTCTCTCTGTCGTCCAGGCTGGAGTGCGGAGGCACAATCTGGGCTCACTGCAACCTCCACCTCCCAAGTTCAAGCAATTCTTGTGCCTCAGCCTCCCAAGTAGCTGGATTTACAGGCACATGCCACCACACCCAGCTAATTTTTGTATTTTTAGTAGAGATGGTCTTTTGCCATGTTGGGCCAGGCTGGTCTCAAACTCTTGGCCTCAAGCGATTCCACCTGCCTCGGCCTCCCCTGTGCTGGGATTCTAGGTGTGAGTCACCACACCCAGCCCCTTTGTCTTATTTACATATGTATCTTCAGCACCTAGAACAGTTCCTAGTACAGAGTAGGCACTGAATAATTTCTGAATAGATGAGTATATAACTAGTACAAGAGGTTTTCTTTATTTTTTTGTTTTGGAGACACGGTCTTGCTCTATCACCCAGTTTGGCGTGCAGTGATGCAATCTTGACTCACTGCAACCTCTACTTTCCCAGGTGCAAGCGATTCTTGTGCCTCAGTCTCCCAAGTAGCTGGGGCCACAGGCACACACCACCACGTCTGGCTAATTTTTGTATTTTTTTTTTTGAACTTTTTTATTTTATTTTATTTTTATTTTTTTATTTTTTTTTCTTTTTTTCCCATTCATTTATTTTATTGCATTTTAGGTTTTGGTAATTTTTGTATTTTTAGTAGAGATGGGGTTTTGCCATGTTGCCCAGGCTGGTCTTAAACTCCTGACCTCAAGCAATCCTCCTGCCTTGGCCTCCCAAAGTGCTGAGATTACAGGTGTGAGCAACCATGCCTGGCCCCACAAAAGAGTTTTGTAGTATGAACTGAGCCTTCAAAGATAGAATGAATGGATGTTTGCAGTAAAGGAATATGGGGTTTCCAGGAAGAGGAAATGGCAGTGGTAAAGGTGGATAAACCAAAGGAATATGTAATAGCAAATGCTTTAGTTTGTTTAGTCTGTGAGGTAGGAGGTGTAATAGCAAATGCCTTTGTTTAGTCTGAAAGGTAGAGCAGCTAACTCAGGGAACCTGAATATCTGCTTTTTAAGAAACCTAGGCTTTTTCCTGTTAGCAGATTGGATTTTGGAGCAGGTGAGAGTAAAGGTGGAGCTTTAAGATTAATTTGTAGTGGCCAGGCACAGTGGCTCATGCCTGTAATCCCACCACTTTGGGAGGCCAAGGTGGGTGGATCACTTGAGGTCAGGAGTTCAAGACCAGCCTGGTCAAGATGAGGAAACCCTGTCTCTATTAAAAATATAAAAATTAGCCGGGTGTGGTGGCGAGCACCTACAATCCCAGCTACTGTGGGAGGCTGAGGCAGGAAAATCACCTGAGCCCAAGAGACAGAGGTTGTAGTGAGCCCACATTGTACCACTGCACTCCAGCCTGGTCAACAGAGACCCCATCTCAAAGAAAAAAAAATTAATTTTTAGAAACAGCTCATTTTTTTCAGGGTGAGCTTCCTTTTGTTCATCTATGTATCTTCAGTTCCTAGCCCATAGTAATAACAGCCAATCTTTAGTGAGCTTTTGCCACATGCTAAGCAATTTACATTCATTTACCTCATTTTATCCTCACTCTTACAAGGTATTATCCCTATTTTAGAGAAGAAATAGGCTCCACAAGATCATTAATTCAGGATCAAATGTGAGAGACAAAAAAAAAGCAAATTGTTAGAGAATAAAAGAATGAAGAATTAAAGATGATTGAATTTTCTAGTCTAAGTGATAGAACTGGGTGCCTTAGAAAAAAAGCAGTGAACTCAAAAGATAACAGGGAAAAGATGACTGGGTTTGATTTTAGATATTGTCAGAGCATCTTGGTGGTAATCCTTAACAGCAAGCATGTATTGAGTGCTTGCTGTTTACCAGGCACAATGCTAAACCTCTCCTAAGGAGCTTCTCATTGCATTTTTATTTATTTATTTGAAACAGAGTCTCGCTCTGTCACCCAGGCTGGGGCATAGTGGCACCATCTTGGCTCACTGCAACCTCTCCCTCCCAGGTTCAAGCACTTCTCATGCCTCAGCCTCCCAAGTAGCTGGGATTACAGGCCTGCACCACAACACCTGGCTAATTTTTGCATAAAGACAGGGTTTTGCCATGTTGGCCAGGTTGATTTCAAACTCCTGGCCTCAGGTGATCCACTCACCTTGGCTTCTCAAAGTGCTGGGATTGTAAGTGTGAGCCACTATGAACAGGATTTAGAATTAAAAAGTTATGGCCGGGCGCAGTGGCTCATACCTGTAATCCTAGCACTCTGGGAGGCTGAGATGGGTGGATCACTTGAGGTCAGGGGTTCAATACCAGCCTGGCCAATATAGTGAAAACCCATCTCTACTAAAAATCTAAAAAACTTAGCTGGGCAAGGTGGCACACATAATCCCAGCTACTCCGGAGGATGAAGCACAAGAATCACTTGAACCTGGGAGGCAGAGGTTGCGGTGAGCTGAGATTGTGCCATTGTACACCAGTCTGGGCTGTGACCAAGTGAGATCTTGTCTCAAAAAAAATTTAATCAAGAAAGTTATAACCATGACCTCCCAACCCCTGCATGACTTAGCCCCTGCTTACCCCTTGGGCCACATCTCATGCCACCCTGTGTCTACTACATATCCCCTCTGTCTGGCACAGAGTCTGGCACATAGGAAGCTACTGTTTATTGAATGAAACAAATGAACATACATTCTCATTTATTCTTCACAGCACCCTTTGAGGTAGGATATAATGTACCCAATTTAT